TCATTCGTTCAAATTAAGTCGGTTAATGTGATTGCGATATTCCCATCTGATATCATTTTCATTTACTTCTTGCATCGTTACATTATTTGACTATATTAAACAGTGATTCTGATTGGAATTTCTTTAAGTCAGTATCATAATTACATCCATCAGCGAGTATACAACTGATACTTCAGTGAATTTGTGAAAATTTTATGGAAATTCCAAAGTGATTTTCATTAAGAGGGGTAATCGATTGTTGAAAGTGATAAATCAATAAATATTAGCTCAATGTATAAGAATGGTAACGATCAGTTTATATTAATATCTTGAGTTTATTCCTGTAAATGTACATCACCGAAATATCTCAACTTAGAAGAACAGAACACCACAATTTTTAGTGATTCTTTAGTTTACGTCGTGTTGTAATAAAGATTAGTTTTGAACAATCTGAAATCTTACAAAAAATCACTCATGTATATCATTTGGTATGTGTAACAATGTGTCAAGAAGAAGTGTTTCAAATGTTAAGGCTATTTTTCTTCCTAAAAAAGTATTCATGGTTCAATTGGTTTGGTGATTATTGATCAAGTTCAACAAATAATTTAAAACAGTTCAAATCATTCAATATAATTATAATGGTCATGATTATTTACATCATCAGCATTATCATGCCAAGTTTTTTTCTACAATCTATCTAGAACTAACCAAACTATAAAGTATGAAATGTGTATATTTCTTCATTTGTTACAAATTAAAACAAGCGTAATTCACATTGACATAATGGTAAGCCACTTATAACGATATTATTATTAGTAGTATGATAATATTATTTTTGTTAACTTCATTTATAGATCAGAGATTACCGATTATTTAGTATTCTATTCATATTGTGCATTTTAGTTAGTGGTAATTGAATAACTACAGACCTTTATAAAATAAAATGTGTCATCAATTGGAAACAAATGATAGACATGGAAGAAATAAATCAACTTGAGTTTAAATTTAAAATTAACCGATTATTTTATTTATTTTACTCAATGAATACTTAATTATTGTTACAAGTCATAGTTGATTAGTCATTGAGTATAGACAAGTGTCATGTTTGTCTAATTCTATCGATCAACTTGAAATATTTCTACTGATTTAAATGATTCGATACATTGTGGACTATGTTAAGATGTTAGATGGTTGAAGGTAGTCGATAGGAAACCCTGGATCTATGTTTCATACTGATTTAAGGTCGTCTTAAAGACCGATTTTCAATCATTTAGGGTAGTGATCATACGACAACTTATTCAATAGAATTCGATCAATAATAAAAAAGTATCCACGCGCGGCATCGATCAAAGACTAAAGAATTTCAAATATATCAATCTTACGGGAGATCAACTCACTCTTAACGTTTCGGTGTGAAACGGAGTGGCGAGAATTTGCATCCACCAGAGAACATCGGCTGACTCAAGATTACAGGTACGCCATGTTTGTAAAAATGTTAATCAGAAATAATTCAAGTTCTAAGGTTTCTTGCTGACATCTTTAGCTACCTAATAAATTGTTATAGTATAAATGAAATAGGAATGATAGATATATGGATAGATGTGTGATTGTACGTTGGTTGAATTTGAGACAATTCACACCAATACAGTCAAAGAGAAAAGTAAGAATACGAGAATTTAAAAAATGGGAAATGTCGTTAACCATTGTAACAAGTTAAACATGAGAAATGTAAATTAAAAGGAATGAGTATAACTAAAGAATATAGAGAATGAAATAATAATAAAAATAAAGAATCAGAGTAAAGCAGAAAATGTACGCGACCGCGCTAGCTCGATCGATTTCTCTCTTTGCGTTATCCAATAGTGCCAATGATAGATACCTATTAATGAACCGGCGTTAACCAGGAACTTTAAGAGTATTGACTTGGCTCTTCATAAATTCATACAATTATATTATTTGCCTACTTTTGTTTTTCATACAACTTACATTTATAACTCATATCCTAATAATTTTAATCAACGGAAGTTTATAAGCTGATTATCAAGGTTTGATATCTTGGACTGACATCTCAAATAGAACCTTAACATGACTAACTCAATACCAATACATGTATATATCATTTCATTTTTGTCTACAATGGAGAAATCAACCTATACATTTATAAATGTTCACCATTTTACATTTTAGATTGATATATTTATGTGACAATTAATTAAACTTTATGGTTTAATAATAGAATTTTGCCTAAATCAATTAAGAAACTGATTTTTTCTCTTTGTTTCCATCACATACTTAACATCATGAATAGAATAATTATTAAAGTGAAGATAGACACTAAAGCCATTGACCATAATGGAATTTAATCATTTATACTATAAAATTAACTTTGTTCAAATTCCTATTTGTCATATTAAAAAAAATTGCCCCCCCCTCCCAGATAAAATTTTACACCTGCGTATAATGTTTTAAAGAAAAAAATAGTAGTCACTATTCAGTTTCAGTTAGAAGAGCTTTTTTTATTTTAATAAAATCTATGTCAATTTAATATACGAAAAAAATCATATGGTTGTATTCAATAGTTTGTGGTTGTGTGGTGATACCTTAGTTATTTCATGATGAATGGGTATTTGCATGGATCGTTCATATGCTCAACCCCCCATCACCACCCTTCTTTCATATTTATTAACTTCGTTGTGGACATATTATTTATCAATATTATATATTTTGTAGTTTGTTTTTTCTTCAATGACAATAAATTCTAGACTATCATTTCTTTAATAAAATTATCATCTCAATTAGAAATGTTATACTATTTATAATGATATAGTATTAATTTTAAACACCTAGTATTTTATATTTGTGAAAATTTTATTTAGAAATAGATTCTCACTGCGAAATCTCTGACAGGATTTTTTTATTTGATGACAGTTTTTTGAAGAGATCTATCTTTAAATCTATATCTGATTATAAATGAAAATAAATGACTATCAGATAAGATTATTTTGTTAAGTGAAGAAACTTGGATTTTGTGTAGTTTTCATCTTAGAAAATTATGTTTGATACAGTATGAAAATTATATTTATTTAGTGATAACTTTATTTTAATGATCGGTATAAGTTGTGTAACTATAACAAAATAGAAAATAATAAACAGTTATATTATCCTAGATTTGAATTATTCACATGATTGAATGTAAGATTGAACTCATAATGTTTAGGTCTCCCAGTTAGTACTGTTTTTTAACCTGAGTGCTTACATAGAATTATCTATAAGTACTGGAGAGTATTTGTCAGAAAAACCATACCATATGTGATTGGTAATTATTTTACATGAAAACTCAATACACTAAGTTTAACGTTGATAAGTGACTAGTAATTTATTGTTATTATTATCATTGACATTATTATTATTATTATTATTATTATTATTATTATTATGACTATTACTGTTACTCCATCATTGTATCCCAATTAAATATCCTGTTATCATCAAATAGAAACTTATTTACTCATTTTCAAAAGTTGTGAAATAGAAAAGCCTAAATTTATTGAGTATCGAGTAAAAAAATGTTTATCATTAAAGCAAAATAGATTTTACCGATATTTATAAATTTTAGAAGGGGATTCGTTGAGATTTTTAGAAATTTCAATAGTTGAAATCATGAGACTGATAGGTCCTGGGTTCGAATCTCGCTGGGAGCGGGATCGTGAAAGCGCACTGTTGGGGAATCCCATACTAGGATTAAACAGCCGTCAAGTGCTTCCAGAATTTCCATGGTTGTCTAGCTTTAATTGACTCATGATTTCAACTATTGAAATTTATAAATTCGTCAAAATCTAAGTTAGCCTGACCATATTAAAATTCATCTCTAAAGAGTTACTTGTCATACAGTATTGACATAAATTCATAAAATGTTTAGTACTTGGAGAAAAGCAAAGAGTGGATGTAGTTGCAAAACATTTGATCATTTATTCTAACATTCAATGACTGACAGAACGTGATATTAATTGTTTATTGCTCGTCGAGCAATTCAGATCATTAATATAGAGTAAGAGAGAGATCAAGAGACTGATTGATTGCAGTCCTAAATAAAAATGGGAAAATACAAGTAAAAGCAACACCAAGTGAATTTAAACTTCACCTCATTGCACAAGCAGGTGGCTATCAGGACTCAGTAGCTAAATGGAAAACGAAATTACGTTTGAAGCGAACGGCACTGAATTCGAGTGCCGGAGTGAACATCAACTCTGGGATGCAGGTACATCCATCTGACGAGTTCCGAATGGGACGAAACGTGCGTCTTGTAATTCACTGCTATCCACTACCCATCACTGCTTATAAAGCTTGTAACTTAAGGCAATATCGAGGCAATCTGGATCTACACATGCCAACAAGGGACTGATCGACTGCAGTTTTAACCAACAATGGGAGGATACAAGCAAACAACACCAAATGAATAGGTAAGATTGCCTCATAATCTGATTAGTTTGGGACTTTTTCTATCGAGATCAATAATTTAGATACATAAAACAGATGTTGATTTCATTCACAGAGACTGTTTACCTTGATCTAGCTCTAGAACTATTTACATTTTTCATCTTTTCAGACGACTATACGTCCCCTTGTATTTTTTCTAGATTAACTAAGGTTTATTCCGTACTCTTACATTCGGCTTATGTTTGCAATATTTATATAAAAAGTAATGTTTCATTATGTTGATAGACTTAGCAACTTGAAATTTCAAATTTTAACTTAACGCATGACAAGAATTTATCCATGGGTCACCCCTACTGTACTGGCAAATAATTGGCCGACGGTAAACCAATCAGGTTTAAGCTAGGAGATCACGTGCGTAAGAGAGCACACGGCTAATTTTTTGATTGGGTGTTTCTGTTCCATGCGATAATCCGACATGTAATTGCTACCACATGACATTGATTGTAAATATGATTGGCTTGTCGGTTAGCATGCGCAAACAAAAAGTCTATAAATGAAGATGAATGTATCGACTTCATATTGTGATGATCGCCATGATTCCTCAGACCGAAATGCGCGGAAACTACACACGTGTACCACCTATTTATAATACATCTACTTGCGACACATTACAAACACAAACAACAGGATCTAATTTGATTTTGCAAAGCAATGCTTCCTCTAAAAGAGGAAGACGATCGAATGTTCCACCTGAAATTAGAGAACAGACACGTCGGGTGAGTTAACGTAGTAGTGTTATTCTTGCTATTATAAAGGATATTTATTTTCGATTCTGATCAATTGACCTATCTGAAAGCATTTCATTCTTCGGTATTCTGACATATTGAGTACGCGAACAAAATTTTAATTTAATCTGACAGGTATTAGCCGTTAGTAAACAATAGTAAATGGAATAAAATTTCTGTGTTTTCGTTAAGTTGTAATATTTTGGTTTGATTTGAAATAAATAAATCATCATATGGTTGTTAGTGATATTATGTAATGAAAACATTGGCTATTGTACAAGATATACGGACAATACATTTTATTCATTATCATACACAATATACTGTTCAGTCAAAAAAAAAGTTTTATATTAATTTATGTTGTATTAATAGTGTTACTTACATATATAATCAATGGAAATGATTTTTCAGATAATATGGGTTGTAAGTATCAACTGACTATGATGTACACATGACTTAAATTAGAGAAGAGAGGTTAGAGTGATGTGTGACATTTCGAAACAATGTTTGGTTAATAAAGAAATAAGTGATTTAATTATATGAAAGAATAATTAATTCGGTATTAATACAGTGACTGATAAATTCCAAGGTTAAAATTTCATGGAACATTGAAGTTAGAACATATTCCATCTCAGACAATGGGTGAAAAATAAAAAAGTCGTGGATTGATTGAAGTTTAACGTTAACATCGTTGGATGTCGGATCAGTGGTCTAAAGGTTCCTGGGTCCTGAGTTTGAGTCCTGAGTGCGGGGTTTTGAGTGTGCATTGCTGACGAGTCTCATACTATGACGAAACGGTCATCCAGTGCTTGCAGGTTTTCCAAGGCGGTCTAGCTTAGACAAACTCATGAACTCAACTTAAATGTTACAATCTCTATAGATCTCCATAATGATATTTGAAAATTTTATATAAAGTGTGTAGTTATTATTATAGCAATACTGAGTCTTGATAATTAAGTACTAATTGTGATCAGTTAATGAGAATTGTTTGAATGTTTGCTAAATTCAATAAACAAATAATCTAATCTAATCTAATAAATGAATAAATTATGATTTTTCATTTTCTTTTATGCTAACAGTTGAAGAAACAAAATATGGAACGTAGACGGCGTGCCTGTATCTCAGATAAAATGAATGCATTACATAATTTAGCAATGAATCTAATTGGAATTGATGTAAGTATTCTATTATCGTGGTAATTTTTATTTCAAAGTAGTGGTTATATTGACACGAAATTGGTTCAGTGATTCATATTATTATTTGTATCGCATAAATTAGATGCATATCCTCACCGACATATTTTGAATTTCTTTAAAATTTACTGATCATGTATTATTCTTAATCTATTGATTTTTAAATAGTCATAATTAATCCCTTATCAGCTTTATTCATTCTATTTAATTTACTGGTGTTCTAATCGCTATTTATTCTGATCTCTTGGTAGATATAATTTCAATTATTATAAACTCTCTGAAAATTTATTACAATATATCTTTATACAATTTATAGTGATGTTAGCTAAGATACACATTAGACGAATTAAACTTAGATTTATTGTAATAGTTTTTTCTTTTACTCTTCTTCGTCTACACAATAAAATCGTATCGATTTATCCATTGGAATTATTTTTCATAGCGAACAACATAGACTGATCTTGGTCAGACAATCAGTGAAAAGTAAGTAGACTTAGATAGATGTTCACTTCTGTGATGGTACTCCTCAGTATTTGGTATCCAAGACCTTACCTGGGACCGGTTTCTATATTGTTCTACATTAAGATAACCATGCTGTTCAATGCTTCTTGGTTTCCAATAGTTGTCGATTTAAAATCAGACTGTGATGTAAATTGTAAAATTCAGGGATTTCTACAAACCCTCTTAGGTAATGCGAATAAATTTAATTTCGTTTTGTCAACAAATGACAATTGTTCACTTTATGAGATTATAAGCGGTATCATCACATGTTATCTTTCAACAAACATTTATTGCTAGAATAGTATCGATAAGTCTGTACACTTACAATGACATTTAGTTACCATGGTAACTTTCCTCATCACAGAAGTTAGGAAGATATTCATATTTTGAAACTTGTCATTTTTCCTATATCATTTAAATATATCTTTTGGTTTTACACTTTTATTTTTTTCACAGATTGAAATCATGAGTCAGTTGAAGCTAGACCACCATTGAAAACCTGGAAGCACTGGACGGCCGTTTCGTCCTAGTATGGGACTCCTCAGCAGTGCGCATCCGTTACCAGTGGAGTTCAGCCAGGTCTGTTGTGAGACATCAGCTCACTGAAGACAATGGTATATGGTGGCGCAACTTCGTGGATTGGTTGAAGTTAGACATTAACACCGTTGGATGCCGGCTCAGTGGTCTAATGGTTAAGTGCTCGCGCGCGAAGCCAGTAGGTCCTGGGTTCGAGCCCCGCGTGGTGCGGGGTCGTGGATGCGCACTACTGAGGAGTCCCATACTAGGACGAAACGGCCGTCCAGTGCTCCCAGGTTTTCAATGGTGGTCTAGCTTCAACTGACTCATGATTTCAATCTGTGAAAATTTCTAAAATCTCCACAAACCCCTTCTGATATTACACTTTTATGTCACAAACCTATCTAATTCACTCGGATGCGTTTCTTAGAAATAAAATTAATTTTAAAATAGCAATTAGTCGGAATCATTGACATTTGCTTTCGATTTCATTTGTTAATAGATATACTACAAATAAATATAGTACAATAGTTCATGGTACATGATGCTTTACATTTTCAGAAATAATTCTCTATATACAGAAATCATATAACAGATTACAGTGGAATTAAAGACACTTATTTCTTCCTATCTGAGGTTCATTAAACAATATGTGCATGCAACTTAGTGTTAATATTTATAATAAGATTCGAATATAGCACCATTCGCCTAAAACTTTAGTGCATTCTAACCTGAGCTAATAAATCCAGAGACATCATTTGGAATCTTTAACACTAACAACGTCTTCCTATTAGAACTCCGAGAATTCAATCTCCAAGCTAGTCACTCGAGAGCGCATGATAAACTTCGGTTCGGGGTTGTATAGGTTATTGAATTCCATTGAAGTCATGATCCGATCAATGATCTCAATAAAAAACTAAACAATCATATACTGATAATTTATTTTATTTGAATCAAAATAATCAAGAAGATTTTAGTGTTTTATACATTTATCAACTGACAACATCATGTTATTTATTTATGCATGAAATAAATTGGAGATAGAATATACTAACCTTGGCTTTTATATAATTTTCTCTGTGCTCTTTAATCTTATCTTTCTTTTTTTTCGTATTACAGCCAAATGAATGTCATAAAGTAGAAAAAGCTGATATATTAAATCTATGTCACAGTGTATTTAAAGGAATTGCTAACATTGCTAAAGATGAACCTGGTAAGTAGATAAATGGCATTCATTCTCGACTGTGGTCAATTTAATTTATATTTGAAATTATGATCACTTTACTGTTGTGGTGATAATTTCATTGTCTATTATTTTGTTGAATTAAGGGAAAACTTTACAAGATATGCAGTTTAAAAGACATATGCATATATCAACAATTATTTCCATTTAATGAAACTTTATCTATTCGTTATGTTGTTACACGTTTAAGTTTAACGCTTACAAAAGAGAAGCGATTTATTTTAAACTATCAAATTGCAATTCATTATCTAGATTGATTTATTCACTAATAAATCAGTGTTGTCTATGATATTGTTCTTTTTACTTTTAACCTATACACCAGTTTTATGTGTTACGATCTTAATGAGTTTTTAGTTGTTACCAGTTTACGGTAAAAATTCTATAGTTTATATTAAAGAATTAACTATCGGATAACTATTTCTCCCACTATGGGACTATTTAGGTGTAAGCATTTACGAACCTATCTGGGTGTCAATGTGACTAAAGTTAGAAATGTAAACCATTGGAACCCAGCTTAGTAGTTTAGAGGATGTGTGATTGGATTGGGACCTGGAAATCTCAGGTTCAGGCCTCGGTGTGGTTGTTTATGATTACTACTAAGGAGTCCTACGTCTGAAGAAACTTATTTGTTCAATGTTTAACGGTTGATAATATGTGAACCTTACCAAATCTTAACTGATATTCCAGTTTACAATAATTATATAAAATAACGTTTTTATTTTTAACCATAGCTTCATACTAATCATTCTATTCATATGTGACTGTTTATTTGCAGAATTACAAACACGTCTAAGAAAATTGCGTCATAATTTAATTGAGTCGTCTTCTTGTACTACCTCACTGCCACACAAATCAGCATTACTTACAACAAGTGACTCGAATGAACTCACAGATAAAATAATCAAACTGGATAATGATGAACGTAATTCTCAGAATGAAAAGATTCAAGAGATATATCAATTCCAAGAGAACCAAGATAATCGTCTTCAAGGTCATTGTCATCATCGTCCTCATAATCAACAGCAATATCCGCACTTGAGCAACACTATCTCCTTATCCAGTTCACCAACAATCTTAACAACATCAGTTACACATAATGATATGAATCAAAGCACAGATGAAAACAATAAAGAGAATAGAATACCTAAGTTAATCATTAAAAATCCTCTATTATCTAAAAAGTATCCTATTAATGATTGTATTACATCATCATTGATTAAAACACCTACTTCTTTACCAGTGACTAATTTATATTTGAACAGTATGGTTAATTCACAGAATAATCAAACAATAACACAATGTCAATCAACACCTTTACAATATTTAAATAAATTCAATTCAACAGTGAATAATTCTAATAGTGGTTCCGTTAGTAGTAATGATCAATCGACGGAATTAACAATTCATAGGAAGAAGATGCCTATTTTTAAGGAACATCATAGACTGAACACTATTAGTGATTTTACCGTTCACTCCACTGAATCATCTTCAATGTTGTCTAATTTAAAAACGGAAAACTTACCATCTTGGTCATCATCATCAGCAACATCGCAACTAATGACAGGGGAACATTTATCGGCATTTAGTGTACCAGCAAGAAAACCACTTACTGTTATCACAAATCAATTCACTACAAATAACGTTACACATAATAATCAATATTATCAAAATCAAAAATCAATTAAAACAATTAATGATACAAATCCTTCTTCTATATCTATTCCAACTATATCTGACAATACAGAGACATCTATAAAAAATATTGTCAAACCAATGTGGAGACCATATTTAGATTAGATACAAATAATTTTTTATATCATGTCAAATATTTCTTTCCTTTCTTTTTCTTTTTTTGTAAAATTATCTACTAACAACAATTTATACTGTACATAATGAATAATAATGATATTCTGTTCTCAGACGTAAACAATTCAATATTATGTAATGAATAAAGATAACAAAAAGATTAAAGTAGATTATTGATTTTTTTTCTTACGAAAAAATTTATATTAACATTAAGAAACCCTTTTTTTCTCTTTTTTTAAAAAGCTAAAACGGTTGTACAAAATGTTATTTGATTTTAGAGAATTTTTCTTCTATCGAAATATTAAATATTTAAACAAAAATAAATATTATTGATTTTTTTTTCAAAAAAAAACCGCATAAATTTTCGTAGTTGATCATTGAATTTAAATATTAGTTAAGTGATTGATGGAAATTTTTTATTTCAAAATGATTTTTCTAATGAATGTGTTAAGTAACATTGGAAAAAACTTATTAACAGGTTATTTTGTACCTAGTTTTAGATATTTCTAATGAATACGCTTATTAGTATCAGAAGGGGTTTTGTGGAGATTGTAGTAATTTCAACAGTTGAGATCATGGGTCTAATTGGTTAAGCGACTGACGCTGAACTGATAGGTCCTGGGTTCGAATCCCGCGAGGCTTGGTCGTGGATGCGCGCTGCTAAGGTGTTCCACAATAGAACGAAACGGCCATCCGGTGCTTCCAGGTTTTCCATGGTGGTCTAGCTTCAATTGAATCATGATCTCAACTGTTGGAATACGTTTGCTGTCAACTAATTAGCTGTAATATGAGAGAATAGGGGTGTGGGGTGAGTTCTACTGCAGAAGTCAAGTAATAATATTAATAATAACAACAGTGACAGTAATAATGATAATGATACTTAAGACGCATGTATATATATATAGATATATAGTCCGACTGATTTAAATGAGGATATGCAAGAGGTTAGGTTAGATTTTTATGTTTCCATCTGTATCTAATTCACCATATAAGTTCCCGCAGAAATATGACTGGGTTTTTTTAAAAGTAATTAATTCATTTGGCAAATTTCGATAGTGTAATAAGAAGACGAAGATTATCAGAACTATGTAGTATATTAGCGCAATACATTTCGAACAAACTAATCACACATAAACTTGTTAAGAACATTTATGTATCAAATTGAAAGGTCCACTGGACTAGAAATGGAGGGTAAGAGGAGACAATTATAATAAAGAAATAAAGAAAAACACCAGTCTTCAGTTTAATCAGCTCAAATAATTTTTTTTTATTGCCAATTTACTAAAAAAATGAAATCTAACCGTGTTTACATCGAGAAATTATCATAGAATAAATTACAACAGACGAGTTTATATTGAAGCTTTTTTTAAAATTGAATCCCTTTAATCTGACTTTCAAACTTGAAAATTTTAAGTACATTTATCATAATGGATCATGGACGAATATTATTGAGCGATCCCATTCTTCGAATAAAAAAACTGTGTAGTTCAATTTGATTTTTAACTATTTTCACGTTTAACTCCATTACAGAGTATCTTGGTAAAATGTGAGAACCACACATTAAATGTTTCATTTGCGAATTTCCATCATTTCTCCTTGATATTCTGTATGATTGTTCAAGTTCACAGTTCCTTTCTGTTTTCCCTTCTATTCTCTTCAACTTGTTCTTCTTAGCCTTCTGCTGCCAGACATTCAACTTCTGATTATTGTTAGGCACTACTTATGTCAACAGACATAAGTAGAATACACCACACTATCACTGACTCAGTACTACTTTTAATACTCTGGTATTTGTCTTGGTAATTTCGCTCCACTGTACTGACAAGATGTGACTACTTGAACGAACAGAAATACATATCAGGCTCTACAATACTTACAACTGACTTGTCTTAACCAGTAATTCAAAAGTAACTTCATACCATAAGAGATAAACTAATTTGTAGAAACATTTAATCATGATTACAATTCGTACTAACTTAATTGATAAAAAAATATTATAGTCATTTTCAACATAGAATATTTACTAAGTTAGAAACAATGGTGAGTACAAATTAAGTGCTAAAAATATTCAAAATTATTTTATAATTATATTTTAGTTGCTATGGTTACTACCATAATTATTGATGTTAATATCCTATTTTAGAAAATATTAAAGTGATTTCTATATGTACTTCGTTAGTTGACAATATGATTGAAACAGATTATTTAAATAGTGTTCTGTTAAATAAATTTCTTGAAGTAGGAAGAAAAAAAGAGTTATTTACTTCGTATTAATAACTAAACAGTAACAAGGTCTGTACACAAAAATAGATAGTTTATCCGATCATTGATATAATCTAAGGTTTATAATATTAAAAAAGAAAAGCATATTATAAACTAGTATCGAATAGTCCTCTTTTTTCTAGTAACTAATTACGGAAAATATTATCAATAATGATATTGAATTTTAACATTTGTTGAATGAACGCTGTTAGTTAGCAATTAAAAAAACCGATCTGATGTTTACCGTTACTCAAGTAGGAAATCAATACAAACGTGATTAGTTGCACGTAAATGTATCAGCGAGTAATAATGACCGATGCGAAAAAAAGATCAATGATGTTTTACATTGATTAATTGCTCATTAATTATCAATTTCGTGTTTTTCTAACCCCTTTTTATCTCTGATCGAATTCTGTTGACCAAATTTCACTATGGCTGTTAGTCTAATTAACTCGAAGTCAGGTGTACTATGCATTTATGTGCATGGTCGTAGCTCGTCGGATATCCTGAATCTAGGTTTTAAATATCAATTACCATTAAGAAATTATTCACAATGTTGACAGAAAAATTACTGTTTTAGTGCTAAACTGAATAGCAAAAAATCACTTTTTAATATGAGGTTGTGGAGATTGCTGACTGTTATTGAAATTATGAACCGATTCGAGTTAGACAACTATTGAAAACCTGAAAGCGCTGGACGGCTGTTTCGTCCGATTATGGGGTTCATCAGCAGTGCACACCCAAAACTCCACAACCAGAAATCGAGGACCATTGGATCCGATCTTAGCAGTCTATGGGTTAAGCACTCATACGCAAGGCTGAAGGTCTCAGGTTTGATTCCTGATTTTGGGGCCATAGATATTCATTGCCAAAGAGTCCCATACTAGGATGAAGTCGCCATCCAGTACTTACAAGTATTTAGTGGTTATCTAACTTAGATCAATTTACGATATCGATAAAAGTCAATTTGCTAAATAGATTACTGTGTAGAAATGTGATGAATTGTGTAAGGCAATGAATGCTTAGTATAAACATTATCACGATAATTGTAATCGTCTATTTCTAATAACTTTATTAATAGTAACTAATTCTTTCGAAGATATAAAATAGACAAAATAGAAGAGAAATATGTGAGAAAATGAGTGAAGAAACTCTAATGATTGTTTTCCGATATATCTGACTAAGAATTGGTCTAAGTTTGAAATTTCATACTAATTGACTATAAATATAACGTGTTGAAACTTTTATTTATGCACGGACTACAGGATTAATTAAATGAGAAGTAAACAATAGTTAGACATTTAGATTTCGAGTTGTATTTAAGGATTTTTAGTTTTCCAAATATGATTAGATGGTAGAGAAGAATAAGCGAGAGGTTGGTAATATAACATTTGTAGATATTGTGTATATACTATCTGCCATTTGAGCAAGTATAATTTATAATTTTTATTCTCTATTCAATACAAAACCGAATACAAATGTTGATTTACAATCAGTCTAGATATTCGATATTCGAATAGATATTTCTTTTCACTATTAAGTCATACCTTTTAAGTCTAATAAATAGTCCAAAAATAACTCATAATTTCATCAATATCGCTAACACTAAAAATGTTAGTTTAATTTTCACTGATTTAAAAATATCAGTGAAAAAGCAAATGTTTTTCTTTTATGTATGCCCCTCGTAAAACGTGATAGTCATATGAAAATCTGCAAATTTTTCGTGTTAGGAATAAATAAAAATTAAGAAAGATTATTTGCAAGATAATACGTTATTACCACTAGCAATGTACTGGTTTTACTTAAATATTTACTGACTTTTTTCAATGCATAAGGATATTTATTTTTGAGAAATCTGAAAAATAAACTGACTCAATAGTGAAAGTTCTGTGAATGTAAAAGCTTCACTTCAGGATTCCAAGTTAGCGCTTGCTTCATGATGCCGTTTGATGATTTTCTCAATATATGTCCTATCAACTTCCAGCATCTTTTCCTAATTTATTCTTCAGACGACAGCTGGTTTGTTCTCTCCTACAGTAGGTTGTTCGTGATGGTATCCGGCCAAGGGACATCGAATATCTCGCGTAGATAATTGTTTATAAATACTTGTACTATTTTGATCATGGTTGTAGTAGTTATCCAAGTTTCAGCTCTGCACAGTAGAAGTGTCCTGATGTTGGTATTAAAGATTCTTATTTTGATATTGGTTGACAGTTGTTTTGAGTTCCATATGTTATTAAACTAAAGGAATTGGGCCATTACTTTGCAAATCCTTACCTTTACGTCAGCATTTTATCCTCCTTGTCCATTGATGATGCTTCCCAGGTACGTGAAAGATTCCACCTCTTCCAGAGTTTCGCCATCAAGTGGGAATATGTTGGTGTTCTTTGTGTTGAATTTGCGGATCCTGATTTTTCCCTACTTTGCTTCTAACTTGCGACTATACATTTAAAAAATCTATGAAGAATTCATAAATCTTCACTGTTTTTAAGACAAACCGAAAATCGAGAATGTCATATATTCCATTACAGTACTATACTACCACTACTACTACTACTACTACTACTACTACTACTACTACTACTACTACTACTACTACTACTACTACTACTACTACTACTACTACTACTACTACTACTACTACTACTACTATGTTGCTGATAGGTTTTTTTCGTTATAAACCACAAATATTTTCGAGGAAGAAATTGAAATTCTCTCCTGGTTACATGACTATTAATAACTAAGCCACATAGATAATTTTAATGTTTTCCTACACAATAAATTGTTCATAACATTGGATTTAATCTAACTTCATTTATATTTGTATGTATGGATCAAATTGTTGCTTATCAACTATTTTTCATTTTAGAAACTCAGCAACTAATGATCCTATTTATACAAAAATAGATTCAAAGACATTTGACAACTTGAAAATCATTGAATGATAGATCAGTTAGCTAAAATTTCATGAATTCGTATTTGAAAAAAAAACAGTTCTGAAAGTTTCAAATTCGTGAAGGAGACAGAGACACACACACACACACATAGAGAAAGGAGGAGAAACGAAACTGTAACCCACTACCATTAAATTTTAGGCTTAATTTTTTTTCATTGTAGTTAGAAATCAGAAACCATGTCATTAATATGACACTTTAAATTGTTATGCTTAGAATCTCTCTTACTATTAAATGAGATGAATATTCAGTATTTATCATTTTATAATTAATGATGTTGAGAATTGACCAAATTAGCAAAATATCAACTTACAGAATTTAAGTCAGTTGTTTGAATGTTACTGGTTCATCAAATCCCTAGCGTGGTCGTTAGGAGATGTTACAAACAATCACAAAAATGACTATACAGTTTCATCTGATTTAGAATAATTCTCCATCTTTACTATATGTTTATATGAAAACTATACTGATCTGTTATTGAGTAGTGATTGATATTGATAGTATTCTATCAATTATGTTTTGTCAAATAGATCAGTGGACATGTTTTTTAAAATTAAATATAATAAGTGAAGTAGGTTCAAGTTTCTGGGTTAGCATTCCTTTCAAGATTGTATATATATCCTAATCGTAAGTTTCATGGCCTTCTGTTGATTTTCTCCAACTGTTTAATATTACAATGACTTTTTCTGAATGTAACACTTAAAATACATGAACCGATTTTCTTGGAAAGCATACATGTTTGATCTTTCAAACTCTACTGTGATACAAGCTTCTGTGTCAGTATATTTATACTAATTATGATAGATAAGTTAGTTTACCGATCGAGGCTATTTCAAAGAGTATAATAATAAAAAAGTTTCTGTCTCTAAATTTATACCTGATTATATTCATAATTCGTATAGGAATATCTTAAATAATTTAAGTTCACGGATAGTAAACTATTATATTTAAGATATTTTATACTAAAATTATAAATCAATAGTTCAGACTTAAAGACACACTCTATACAACAGAAGTGGACAATAATTATATCTAGATATCTGCTAAATGAATAACCCGGTAACAAATAAGGATGAAGGGGATTATAGTGATGACGGATGACTTGGAAGTGACGAAATGCATTTCAGTTAGCATAGTCCATTAACACTAACATGGATAACATCAATGTTAAATGGTTTTGAAACTATTCAATCACAAAATTATTTACCATAACAAACTTATTATATTTTACACACTGACTAACTGTTTCGTATACGTCCAACATTACCACATGTCAGTGACATAGAATAACGATCAGTTAATTGAAAAGAATCTATACAATACATAACCTAAAAATGCTTGTTAGATATTTGTGAATAATGAAATTATATTTGAACATGTACACAGTAATTCAAAATATTTAAACACACATTTAATGAATGGGTAACAATTTAAATTTTGTGTATTTTTCAAATTAAATAAAATTCTATTTATTTTTAAGTATATAGTCAATCAATTAATTATTTAATCCGAATTACACAAGAGTTTAAATTATAGGGATTTAAATTGTTGGATTACTATATTATTTTGGTTGTCTTAATCCCAGTCAACATGGTGACTATTCTCTTTCTTCTTCTGTTCTTTTTTTTGTTTCCACACATAAATCCACTTAACAATAGATAACCTTCAACAATTCCGTTGGTTGTCCTACTGTGTTGTTACTGTTATTCACTCCTTACTATAATTACTCCATTTAGAGTTTAATAACAAAAGAAGACAAATAAACTTCATTATCCTTAACGTTATAAGTATTAATTTGCCCATTTAGTTCTTTCATACTGTTAATTGCTGTTTAAATGGCTTTCTTGTGTAAAGGGCTTTTGGAGATTGTTTAATTTTCATGGTTTATACCAGGAATTGATCTTAGTCATAAAAAAAACAGAAATCACTAAACAGCTGTTCAGTCCTAGCGTGGGACTCCTCTACAAGAGTGAAGACCGTGGGGACGATTGATGAGTCCCACTCTAGGATAAGCCAGTTTTCCGGTGCTTTCTGATTTTAACTAAGATCGATCCGTAATGTAATGAAGACCTTTTCCTTTATCAATTTACCAGGCTAAAAATTATATTTACAACTAACTGAATAATACAACTTACATGTTTTGTAGAAAAACTCTGAGAATAACAGCTTCGAATTTATCCTCTTGACAAACTTTGTATGAAGTAGACAGAGTTTGATTTCTGTGATGATATTACTTTAAGTTAGATAGTAGGTATCTTTGACTTGCGTGTGTATTGTGTCTGGCTAGTTATGTCTTTCAACAGTACATGGATGTTTTTGTCTACTAGTTTTATAACTTAGATCTTTAATCACCTAATCAATGATCTGGTTCAACATATTTAAACTCAAACATCTATTAGACGGTGTTTAATTAATCATAAAGTATTTTTCGAAGTTTTATGGAAATTCGTACTTAGAGCAGGAAAGGTGGACGTTATAATCATGATCAGTCGATTAAGTATAATAAATAAATATATTACGGTTTCCGTTTCTAATTGGAGTATGTTATACTCAGTGGGCGGAGTTATGCAAGCAAACTGATTTATAATTTTGCTCTAGTAATTCTTTTGAAAAAATAAGTCTTTATATCTTCTTAAGTACTGGGCTTTATTTATTAGAATGGTAGTGTGTACAAAAAACAGAAAGTAGCAATTTCATGGCAAATAAAATAAACATGAACGAATATTGACATAAATATCAGTTTACATGTAATTAACGTTTAGGAGTAGGATGTGTTACCATTCGGTGGCTGAATTAACCTGAAACAACTATCCTAGAATTGGTATGTCATTGGATCTAAAGGCAAAATACCGGTGAATAGAAAGGTCTTAAAACTATAAAGCCAGTGAAATGTCAATCAGGCCTAACAAACTCATCCATCAAGGCGAACCGTTTCTACATCAGATGGCGGATCACTGAGTGTTGGCAGTTTACTGAACATCGTCAAAGTCAAGGATAACTGCCGATCACTAATCACTGTCATGCCATGGACTGGCACATGCAACAGTGGTTTTACTTTGTACTTAATCAGTCTTTTTCTACAACACATTTCTTTAATGAAATTACGCTTGTCCTGTGCCGTCACAATTGTAGCCATAGCAACTGAGTATCACGATAGGGTAATCCGGGCTAAGTATTAACCGCGGAGGTATGAATATAGCGTAAACTAAGAGGTCATACCATTTCTTTATAACTCGAATAAACTCTGTATCCGTATTAGTGACCAACAATATGTATAAAACTAAATTGATGATAACACAAACTAGAAAGTTAGTTGGATTATTCTAGTATTAATGGAGTGCATTTCCACATATTCCAAAAAAGTTTAAAATCTACAATGAATTTAGGAATAACAGGTGAATTGTAGTCATGACATTCTTTTTGACTTAGTTATATATATGGGCAAAGAACTAGACAAATTCAGTAAAGGTCATTCCTTGAAAATTAACAACTTACCTGTGTTGAATAAATAATGTCTGAATAAAAAATAATATAATGATTTACTGTTATTGACTTTTGTGATGATGTTTCACTAACTTCATATTTATTATATATATATATATATATATATATATATATATATATATATATATATATATATATATATATATATATATATATATATAATGTTGACAACTTAAACTGTATCCGAAAGAAATAAAGATTTACATTTCTAATTGCAAATGTCATTAGCTTTCAAGTGAATGATGTTAATGGTGATATTCACATTTGTTCATTAAAACATTTTAATATACAATTAATGATATTTGTCTGACAAGTAAGTCATTTGTACACACACACACATGGACTAATGAACTGTTTCTGCTTTGTACTTTTTAAAAAAAATGTTATAGATTTCAATTTCATTTGATTTCGGACTTTTTTTCAATTAATTAATGAGTTTAAACTGTTCAATAACACAAATGTATAGTGTTACTTTAATGAGTTAATAATTCTTGGGTGTGTGTGTGTGTTCGGGACTAATGATAACAAAAGAATATCATTGGAATGTAAATGATAGATTGTAAAACATGTTAATGAATTTAATAAACAAGTTATTTATACTTGTGTCTTGTCTAGACACTCTAAGAGAACAATGACATGGTGAATGAATACGTTACTTATTGAGCATTTTAAAAAAGGAGTAATACTGATTATGTTATAGTGTAATTAGTTTGGGTTTTTTTAATGAGCTTGGTAAAAACACAAAGTATTTAAGAGGATTGACCAACTTATTGATTTATCTGTCTAATAAGTTTTGAATTATCTTACAGATAATCACTTGAACTGATAAATTTATTTATTTACGCCCGTTACCCCACGTGGAGCACAAGCTGGCAACCAGGATTCTCTAACCTATTCTATCCTGGCCTCTCTTTTCTAGTCGTTGCCGAGTGCCATTCATTCTTTTTATGTTTGCTTCCGATTCCTTCCTCACTGAGTAGCCTAGCCTCGAATTCATCACAGTTCATTAGTTCCTTAAAGACTATAAATCCGCCTTAATAATAAGTGCCAAATAGTAAGAACGTTACCAAGAGACACCGAGTCTAGTTATTAATACATGTCAACAGGAAGTATACATTTGCCACAAGTCCTTTATTGTATGAATCAATTAAATCAATCTTTAAGATAAGTTTATGGTTATATATTATTCGCTAAAAATCTGTTGTGCCAGTGAAATGTTACTGGGCTACACCCAAATCGCTCCTGCAGTAGGGTCACCGTATGTCAAACAGTTCAACTATCCTCAT